CTTATTTCTCTATGCCAAGTGTCCAATGTAAAAGCTATTGAGAACTGTCAGCCATGTTTTAATCATTTCTCTATGCCAAGTGTCCAATGTAAAATCTATTGAGAGCTGTCAGCCATGATTTAATCATTTCTCTATGCCAAGTGTCCAATGTAAAATCTATTGAGAACTGTCAGCCATGTTTTAATCATTTCTCTATGCCAAGTGTCCAATGTAAAATCTATTGAGAACTGTCAGCCATGTTTTAATCATTTCTCTATGCCAAGTGTCCAATGTAAAATCTATTGAGAACTGTCAGCCATGTTTTAATCATTTCTCTATGCCAAGTGTCCAATGTAAAATCTATTGAGAACTGTCAGCCATGTTTTAATCATTTCTCTATGCCAAGTGTCCAATGTAAAATCTATTGAGAACTGTCAGCCATGTTTTATTCATTTCTCTATGCCAAGTGTCCAATGTAAAATCTATTGAGAACTGTCAGCCATGTTTTAATCATTTCTCTATGCCAAGTGTCCAATGTAAAATCTATTGAGAACTGTCAGCCATGTTTTAATCATTTCTCTATGCCAAGTGTCCAATGTAAAATCTATTGAGAACTGTCAGCCATGTTTTAATCATTTCTCTATGCCAAGTGTCCAATGTAAAATCTATTGTGAACTGTCAGCCATGATTTAATCATATCTATATGAAGAGTTTCCATTGTCAAGACTATGCATAACCATCGGCCATGTTTTTTATCATATATTTATGCTGATTGATAAATATTAGTAAGATATTGATGAGCAAGAAGACAAAGTAAATGAACACGCCCACCTACACCATATGGCAGTAATGTGACAAATACAATTTTCTGTAATCCGTTCAATTTTACTTCACAAAAATAGCTTCCTCCGAATTAATTTCACAAACAAATACAAAACATAACAGGAAGCTAAAACAGCACAGTATTCAATGAAACATATAATTAATAATATGTCTATAGTCACAAAATTGAGCCCTGCAGGGTGAGGTTTACAAAACCTAATCAATAATTATAAATGAAAATGCAATTTTCCTCGCACAATATTTGTCTCCATAGCAACATAGCAGTGATACATTTGTTTCAAAGGTACTTCCCCTTTCTAAATAATACCAATGAAGTGACTTTTTTAATCGAAAACAACTAGCACAGCATGAGTTTACTATACTTATAACACATGGCCTGTTGATACTGTTATATACCATGCATATCCGCTGTCTATGGAGGCTTACAGCAGACAATGCTCTTAGGAACACTACCAGTGGTGTTTATGACATTGCATTCAACTATAAATGGAAAGTAAGTAACAGTGAAAGTTCCACTATATTAGACAGCGGTGTCTGAATTTGAAACTACCTGCTTGTGACAAATAATACACCACGTTCAAATGTAGAATGCTCATATGATTTACCATTTTCATATTTCACTCAATTATTTTGCTCATGTTGAATTAAAGTCCATAAAATCCACTGAGAATGATGTTATCTACTCTACTACCGAACTTTAGTTACTGTATATGGGTCAATCATACAGAGAAATTCCCACCACATGATTGCTCACAAAATGAATCATCCCTACATTCACAGAACACCACCTGCACTATGATTAAGAGATATCAGTTAACAGAGCTTGTCAACAGATGTAATTTGAATATGGTCATGCATTCAAACAAAGTTTCCTGTTATTCAGCCATAATAATATTTGGTTACATAGGTAATATTGAAAAAGAAAGTGTATACTGTATATGATGTACAACGCATTGTTGAATAGTTGTTTTACCACATGACACTAGGTGTGAAGCATTGATTTGTGGGTTCGAAAGAGCCAAGTCAAAACACACACTACTGGCAATTTACCTGGAAACATTACAATACCGCAAGAGAGACGTATAGAAATAGTGGCTTTTCTGATGAATGTATTTCAGCATCCACTGTAAAAAATGCTTTTTCAGGGCCTAACCAATCATTATCATTCCTCGTTTCCTCATCCACGCGAAATACACAAGGTGATCATCATCAGAGAATTATGATATCAGTATTTAGCAGTGAACAAAAACATTTTAAAAGTACATCAATCAATATTATACATGTGGTAAATATAGTAAATAGTAATTAATCGACTTCAAAATATATCAAATAGCAAAATCTCCAAAATCATAGAAGATCAGTTCAGATAAGTTGATAAATTTGATTGGGAATCAAAACTCAACACCTTGCAAGCAATCATTGGGGAAACAAAAAAATATTGTTTGATACAAATTTATTAGACAGCAGAGAAGTTTAATAGCCAAGCAAGCAACACAATCAATATCCTGCGAGGTCGTCGTTATATTTATTAACGATGCCTTTCTATATAGAAAAACAGTCAGTCTTTTGAACCGATATAAAGTATGCATCGTTTGCAGAAAATCAATATACCTCATAGAATTCTGATTTTCAATTTCACTGTGAGTTCTGCTTTTGATGATGAAAACCTGGTGCATTATGAATAGAGATTAGTGTGGTCTCACATCTGCTGAAGAGAACTAACAATAACAATCCAATATTTTTTTGTATAAGTATGTATGTATCAAGAATCTTGTAGTAATTATAAAGATAGATCTTTTCAATGCCCCCCCCCTACTCAATGGCACGAGTTTTTTATTCATGAACAAAACAAAAAAGTTGGCATTCACAACCCGCCATGATAAAAGTCACATCTTTTCTGTTGATGCAATTCTGTCATTTATGCTTGACTGATGCAGAGAAACGTAAAGTCATTTCCATTTCTTCAGTCTCTTTTTTTTAATATTCATATTAAGCTAATAATAACATGAGATAGAAAATCAGTACAGATTATGCATGCATGTAAGGTTATAACAATATCACTTCATATTCGCATATAATGTAACTCGTCATAGCCATCACTGACCTATATACATATATTTTTTGTTCATTCATTTATTTATTTATTTATTTTTCATACTAGTTTTATATGGACTTTCAAAAGCTTGACAGTCTGAAATAAAGATAAATAATAAAAAATATGTGGTAGCCAATCATAGCCATCATATGTGGTATCCAATCATAGCCATCATATGTGGTAGCCAATCATAGCCATCATACATGTATGTGGCAGCCAATCATAGCCATCATATGTGGCAGCCAATCCTATCCATAATATGATCTCCATTTGCCAAGTTGTACATAAAAACATGTGGCTTGATGTATGTAACTCATCCATAAGGAGAGTTTGAAATATATCTCATAAATACTGAATGAAATGGAAATGGGAATAGGGTCTTGCAATGTCTTGACTGGCCCTCTAGAGGCGAAATGACACCAGGCAAAACGGACGTTTGTCGTCTGCTTCACAGCCCGTTTTATACCCGATATTTAGGGCATTCTTCAGCATATACAAGTAGTTTTTAACGATATAATTCATTTATAGATCTCAAATTTCATGTACAGAGTGTCAAAAGCCAGACATCTGCCCCCCTTTAAGGAAGTAACCAACAATAATAACAGTAGTAGTAGGGTAGGGATATATTCAAACAGAGACATAACTAAAGAGGGAATGCTACACAGGCCTGATATCAAATTATGCCATCATTTTTACTGTTGTGTGATGGCAATCAAAATATGCAGTTGCAGGGCTCTACAACGGTGCATGTCTAATCTATGTGAAATAGCCATACACACTAATAGAACAAACTGATATAACACAGAGCACACATACACACACACACACACATACATACTAAATAGAACACATGCACATATTCTTGGAAAACAAGTTTTTCCCATCATACTTTTTGTCTAGCTATGCATATATATAAAGTACAAAACGACTACTAGTACTTTCCTTAGCAATGTAAGAATTCAAAATTATCTGTTACGAAATTTGATCAACACTGATCAAAAAACAAAATTACCTACCTTGCCATTGGGACTGCTTTTCTTGAAAACCCTGCAAGATAACAGAAAGAGAAAGAATGAATTAAAAGGCGATATGAGTAAAAAAGAATAGGAACATGGGTACGACAAATGATACGTTTAAAATATCTACAGTGTGTTGCGCGAGTGTTGCGCGAGTGTTGCATGTGTGTTGTGTATGTGTTGTGCATGTGTTGCGTGCATGTTGCGAGTGTGTTGCGTGTATGTTGCGAATGTGTTGCGTGTATGTTGCGTGTATGTTGCGTGAGTTTTGTCTGCGTGTTGTGTGCATTGTGAGTATGTGTGTTGTGTGAGTATGTGTGTTGTGTGAGTATGTGTGTTGTGTGCGTGTTGTGTGTGTGTGTGTTATTATTGATATATATAAAGATTCTGACAACATTGGGATCCCTGCAGAAAACATGAATTGTTTGTGATTTTAATCTGTTTAATCTGTCTAATTTTAATCTATACCTAGTATATCATCGCATGTACCAGTGTGTACAATTTTAATTTGCTATTTGCTATTGCTCTATTTTTCATTAACTTAATTTGGTAGAAAACAAGTACATCATATGCTTTATGATAAGTATACATTTGTATACAAGCTTTGAGTGACTCAAGGAAATCAGCCTGAGCCAATAATACTAATTTTTCGAGCATGGAATCATTACAGTATACCATCAAGATATTTTTGTTTTATGTATTTTTTCGTTTCTTTTGTCTTTATTTGAAACATAAAAGAGTATTTTATTTCAAAGGAAAGCAAACAAGGACATGTATTTTGCACATGCAGACAAGTTTTTGATGCCAATGAAAATTCCACTACATGGCTACAATCTGTAATCTAATTGCCATCTCCGATCTAATCGAATATCCATTTAAAGTCTATTAATCAAATTTCCACTGAATAACCACTAATAAAGTGTACTGTTTAGTCATTTCATTACCCCCTTGGCTTTTTCTTTTTAATTTGGCAATTAAAATTATAATAAATAAATAAAAATCCAGTCGAGCATAATTTCTTGTAATTCATTAGTGCTTAAAACTGAATGTACATTTCAGTTTGTTTACATAAACCTGGCGGTTAAGCTCATAATATACAAATTCTGGTGACCTCAAACAAGAGAGGATAAATGAAATTATGAGACTATCACGTGATATCACTCATTCATAGAACTGGTCGATACGAGTTATTCTATTACAATTATTTTTTCAAAATTAAATTTTCAGATGTAATATGACATAATCCACTTTCCATTGTACTATACTGGTCCACTTTCATTGATGTGCTAGAACATAATCATCTGGGAACCAAGTTTGGACGTAATTGGACAGTGAGATACACAATGTAAACAGAATTGTGCAAAAAAAGACAAACATGGCCAATTATCGTCAAACAAAATGGCTGCTTGTCAGCCACATTGCACAGAATCTTGACAAAAATCAACTTGCATCTTCATGAAATAATATACTGCCCCTGTACCAAATACAAATGAACTTGGGAATTGTAAACTCAAGTTATAAGCAAAAATGAATAAAAATAAGTATTTTTAATGAACAAGTCAGACAATTTAAAAACATAGTTGAACTCTGGTGACCTTGCCCTTTGTTATATAATATAATTCCCTTTAACATAGTTTGTTTCAATATAAATATGCATTGTCATAATTAATTTTGAATACAAACAAGTTTTGGGGTTGAACCAACAGTGGGGAATCAGTCTACCGAATGTCCTTAAAAGATGTAAATATCTTACAAAAACATTGGTGCCTTATTTGTTTAATTATTTTAAGGGACATAATTTCCAGCTTTATTCAAAGTAATTTAGATATTTTAGTATAAAAACAAATGCCTCATCGCAAAAAAAAAAGTGCTGCATTTAGACGTGAATAGATTCATAAAACATGCAAGATAACAGAAAATCTTAGCTGGCTTTTATCCAAGTATTTTGTACAGGTGTCTGTCAAAAATTAATGATTCACTGAGACAAATATGAACTGCCTCATTGTGTGACTACTGTATTATATGAAAAGTAAAAAAAAAAACACCCTTTATGAATTGCTATCATGTTGCAAGCTCTGCTTTGCATGCAAATCTTCAAACACTGCAATCTTTGAATTGCGTTTTTAAACCAATATTATAAAAACTCTATCATTCTGTTCTAATAACTGAACATATTCCTGTGAGTTTTCATTTGTCGAATGAAATTTGTCTAATA